TTTTTTTTTTTTTTTTTTGAGTTGGAGTCTTGCTCTGTCACCCAGGCTGGAGCGCAGTGGCGCACTGTCGGCTCACTGCAACCTCCACCTCCCGGGTTCAAGCAATTCTCCCGCCTCAGCCTCCCAAGTAGCAGGCGTGTGCCACCATGCCCGGCTAATTTTTGTATTTTTAGTAGAACCAGGGTTTCACCATGTTGGTCAGGCTGATCTCAAACTCCTGACCTCGTGATCCGCCCCCCTCAGCCTCCCAAAGTGCTGGGATTACAGACGTGAGCCACTGTGACCGGCATGAGTGTGGATTTCTACTGCATCATATCCTCACCAGCAATTGAGTGCTGTCAGTGTTGGGGATTTTCACCAATGTAGTAGAAATGTAGTGGTATCTCATTGTTTTAATTTGCAATTTCCTAATGGCATATGATGCAGATCATATTTTCATATGCTTGCCACTTGTATTTCTTCTTTGATGGGGTTTCTGTTCAGATCTGTTGTCCATTATTTAACTGAGTTGTTCATTTTCTTATTTTTGAGTTTTAAGAATTATTTGTATATTTTGATAATTGTCTTTTATCACATATGTCTTTTGCAAATGTGATATTTCTATACATGTATGCAATGTGTAATGATCAAATCAGGGTAATTGACATCTTGCATACTTCGGCTCTAGTCCTAGAGTTTTGCTCCTGTTTCTCAGACTTGAGTGCAGTGGTGTGATCTCTGCTCAATGCAACCTCTGCCTCCCAGGTTCAACAGGTTCAAGCGATTATCCTGCCTCAGTCTCCCAAGTAATTGGGATTACAGGCACCCACCGCCACGCCAATTTTTTGTATTTTTAGTAGAGATGGGGTTTCACCATGTTGACCAGGCTGGTCTCGAACTCCTGACCTCAGGAGACCCACCCGCCTTGGCCTCCCAAAGTGCTGGGATTATAGGCATGAGCCACCTTGCCTGGCATTATGTCCAAAATTTGACCTCTAAGCACCTTTCTAGCAAGACCTTTGCTCAAGCCCTCAAAAATGATTTACTGCTCCTGAAATAACTAGTATTTTGTTCTTTGGTCTAGCTATTCACACTGTCTTTCCAAAATACTTTCTTGAGAGTCACCACAACGAATCTCTACTCTACTTCTACTTCTCTCTTTTAAAGTTTTTTCTTTTTTTTTTGAGATAGAGTCTTGCTTTGTCACCCAGGCTGAAGTGCAGTGAAGCGATCTCAGCTCACTGTAGCCTCTGCCTTCCAGGTTCAAGCAATTCTCCTGCCTCAGCCTCCTGAGTAGCTGGGATTACAGGCCCCTGCCATCACACCAGGCTTATTTTTGTATTTTTAGAAGACATAGGGTTTCACCGTGTTGGTCAGGCTGGTCTGGAACTCTTGACCTCAGGTGATCCGCCTGCCTCAGCCTCCCAAAGTGTTGGCATGAGCTACTGCACCCAGCCAAAGTTTTTTTTTCAATTTTATTTGTATTTGGTACATAAGAATGGTATATACTTAAGAGTTGCATGTGATATTTCTATACATGTATGCAATGTGTAATGATCAAATCAGGGTAATTGACATCTCCATCACCTAAACAGTGATTGTTTCTTTGTTTTGGGAAGGGGAGAGTAGAACAGTGATTACCAGAGGGTGGGATGAATAGGGGGAGGAGGGACAGGGAGAGGTTGGTTAGTGGGTACAAAATTATAGTTAGGTAGCAGGAGTAAGTTCTAGTGTTTTATAGCACAGTAGGGTGACTATAGTTAATAATATATTGTATATTTTAAAATAGCTAGAAGAGAGAGTTTTGAATGTTTCCAACAGAAACCCCACTTATCTTTTAAGACACATCTCAAAAGCTAATACTTCCATGAACACTTCTTCAAAATTGTTTTCTTTCTGCAAAATTCTACAGTCAATCTGTACCTCATTTGCATCACACTTCCAGTTCTATCCGGTCTGATTGTTACTAATGTAGTAACCTCATCTTTCCTATTAGATTATAAGCTCCTTGAAAACAGAACCCATATCCAACCCAACTTTGTATTTTCCTTTAGCCACGAGCCCAATATCTGGCACTCAATAAATATTTGTTGGAGAGATGATCTCTCAGTCTCATTATGGACCTCATATTTGTAGGACCGGGGTCTGCCTGTCAGGTAGAACTTTGTACTGCTTTCGGTCACACTGCTTTACTCCCAGCCCCAGAAACTTACCCTCCAGTAAGGAACACAGGGCCATACCCTACATGAAGCCCTGCCTGGCCTCTTTCTTACTAAGAGGAAGTTGACTAGACACAATTGTGCTCAGAAACTTTCTTTCCTAACAGTAAGGCTGGGAATTTTGGCGTCTTGTGTTCCATGATCAGCTTTCCATGAGTCACAGTAGTACCAGTGCACAGCAAGGGATCCATTTCCATCAGTCGGGGTATTAGGGCTTTTTGGAAATGGGCCAAGGAGAAATTAGAAAAAGAAAAAAAATATATGGTCACAGTTGAACTTTTTAGGGCATCATTTACTTGTTTCCTAAAAGCAACATCAGATATACTTAGTTTCAGTTTCTAAATCGATAACACTGGTACACTGAGTGTTTTTATCCAGTTCATTAATTACTTCTTTGTTCCTAAATTCAATGGGGACATTTAAGTCCTTTCCTTGATTAACTTTTCAAACATCTGACATTGCAGCCTGCTTTTTTTTTTAAAACCCTTTTACTTTCCTGACATTTTCCATGACATCTATCCCTCCTTATTTTACTATACTTAATAATAAATAAATACATATATACATACATACCTAAAGACTGCAATCATGGAATTTTCTTTTTTTTTCTTCCTTTCTTTCTTTCTTTCTTTTTTTTTTGAGACAGTCTCGCCCTGTCATTCAGACTGGAGTGCAGTGGTGCGATCTCCCCTCACTGCAGCCTCCGCCTCCCGGGTTCAAGGAATTCTCCTGTCTCAGCCTCCCGAGTAGGGACTACAGGCATGCGCCAATACTCCTGGCTAATTTTTGTATTTTTAGTAGAGACAGGGTTTTGTCATGCTGGAAAGGCTGGTCTCCAACTCCTGACCTCAAATGATCCGCCCTACCTTGGCCTCCCAAAGTGCTGGGATTACAGGTGTGAGACACCATTCCCAGCTTCTTTTTTTTTTTTTTTTTTTTGAGTTGGAGTCTTGCTCTGTCACCCAGGCTGGAGCGCAGTGGCGCACTGTCGGCTCACTGCAACCTCCACCTCCCGGGTTCAAGCAATTCTCCCGCCTCAGCCTCCCAAGTAGCAGGCGTGTGCCACCATGCCCGGCTAATTTTTGTATTTTTAGTAGAACCAGGGTTTCACCATGTTGGTCAGGCTGATCTCAAACTCCTGACCTCGTGATCCGCCCCCCTCAGCCTCCCAAAGTGCTGGGATTACAGACGTGAGCCACTGTGACCGGCATGAGTGTGGATTTCTACTGCATCATATCCTCACCAGCAATTGAGTGCTGTCAGTGTTGGGGATTTTCACCAATGTAGTAGAAATGTAGTGGTATCTCATTGTTTTAATTTGCAATTTCCTAATGGCATATGATGCAGATCATATTTTCATATGCTTGCCACTTGTATTTCTTCTTTGATGGGGTTTCTGTTCAGATCTGTTGTCCATTATTTAACTGAGTTGTTCATTTTCTTATTTTTGAGTTTTAAGAATTATTTGTATATTTTGATAATTGTCTTTTATCACATATGTCTTTTGCAAATATTTTCTCCCAGTCTGTGGCTTGTCTTTTTGTTCTCTTAATGATGTCTTTCCCAGATCACAGTTTAATGTTGATGTGTGATATAGCGCTTGTCATTTTTTTTCTTTGATTGTGCCTTTGGTGTTG